TGATGATTGTGATTTTAATCTCAATGGCTGGAGAAAATAAAAGGAATGAGAACTGATATGAAGACCTCACCTCTTTCATGGAAACATAGCAGGTAGAAATGTAAAACCAGCCTTATTATGTTTTCCTTTTTTTAATCTAAAGTTGTAACCTCCTCACTGAGGATGGTCTTATGTCAGTATTCATCACAAGATGGTTTTTGGAATACAGGAATTGAGAGACATCTGTGGTCATGTTTTTGTGTTTGTTTGTTTTGAAGTGAAATCTGAAATTCACTTTCAGAAATCCTAAACTGGTCAGAGTCAGGGCAAGATTTTTTAATGTACTGTGCCCTAGTGCTTTAGATTCTTTAATAAACTATTAACTTAGTTTTAATAATTAAGACTCCATTGTCTTATGTCCCATTTTTCTCAGATTAGGCACTTAACTTTCTCTGTCAGTTGTTGCATCTATAAATGAAAGTTATTAATCTCATAATCTGATATTTCCAAGTATTGAGTTAGTATTTGTAAAACTTCTGAGTACTGAGATTAAAAGGCCTTGGATCAATACCATGTGTTTCCTTTTTACTATATAGATTAAATGCTGAGAAACTGTAGTCTAAAGAGCATTTCTGGTTAGTTCTAGGCACAGAGCATTTCCTTATAAATTTAAACTTAGATACAATCCAAATGACTTACTTGCGCTCCCTCATTCTACTATCCAAATCAAAATCATCTTGTCTTCCTATTTCCTTTTTTGATCTTTTAAAAACTAACTCAGGAAGTTTTATCCATCTCCATGGTTATCTTTTTTTTTTTTCACCCTCTTTCTAAAACTGCAACATTTGCATTAGAAGCACTAAGCAATTTCTTTAACAATAGGAATTTATATAGTGCTATGGACTGCCCAATGAGGTGAGCCCCCTTTAACAGAGGAATTTAAGAAAGTGGGAAAAGGCAGGAAATTCAGCTGAATCTTGGGAAGTGGGAGAGGGTGCCTGAAATGGCAGTCCTTTTTAGTAGGGCAGAAATGTTTGTGTGTGCATTTTTGTTTTTTTCTTCTTAAACCACAAGATGGCCATCTGAGGAATATTTCTGAACTAGCCTTAACTCTCCATGGCCACAGTGTTTCAGAGTTTATAGAAATTCCAGACTTTCATCTGAGATTCTGGTATTTAAGGGGTCCATCCTACCATGTCAGAGCAGTGTGTTATATGGTTACAGGAATATGTCAGAGACAGTGCAGGTTTGGTTCCAGGCCATCACAGTAAGTGTGTACCTCAATGAAATGAGTCGTAATCTTTTTGCCTCACCTTCAATTTGTAAAAAACACAACATCTGTGAAGTACGATAAAGTGAAGCACAATAAAACAAGGTATGCCTGTAATTAGTCAGTAGAAAACTAATATGTTTAACCAGCCAATCTTGAATAGCCATATCTAGGGAGAGAAAACTTAGATTCTGAATTATCCTTCCCATCTTAATGTTACTGACTTAAAAAACAGTCTACTTTGCTGCAATTATTGGGAGAGGAATTCTAATTTCCAGCAAGGAGTCTTGGATGCTATATGGGAAGAAGCTAAGTTGTGATGCTTCCACTTTATTCTGAACTCTCTAGTGAAAATAGTTGAGATGTATGTTAGAGTTTTAGTTTTTCCTTAGACATTCCTCCAGTGAAGCACTGGGACAAACCTTTTTTCAAGGGCCGAAATGCAATGGGTTACTGGTTTGCTGCTTAGCAAACTATACAATTTGAATTAAAACACCCCATATTCCATGTGAAGGGCTTCACATGACATGATTGTATTTTCCAGGTTTGTCTTAAACAACCCTGGCAAAAAGATTTTTTAAGTTGCTTGAAGAACAAACTCCTGACTCAACGTCTCTCTGATGATTTTGCTGGAATGACTTTTCCTGAAGTTTCCCGGTGAGTTAAAAGAAATACTTTCCTCATTTTTCATACAATGACATTCTTTCAACAATGGTAATTGATGGCTCACTGTAGGCCATGTTTCACGGCAAGCACTTAAGATGTAAGAATATAGGATATAAGAATATAAGATACAAGAGAGAATAAGTCGGAGTCTCTGCAACCTAGGAGTTGTAGGACAATTTCATCTCTGTCCCAGTTGGCACACTGATGAGCTACTTCAGAATAGATACATTTACAAGTGAAAATTACATAGCTGGGAGGCCCTTCCTCTGCTGAGGGGCTTGTGTTCTCCCAACTGTAGAGCACAGAGTGTTAGTCTTATTATTGGGAACTAGCGTCCTGCTGTCCTCTCTTTTCTCACAACTACTTATCTTCCTTCCCAGGCTCTGCTTTGTGAAGATGCACCTCATGCTGATAGCCATAGAACACAAATCTGTACTTCCCGGTTACTGGTACCAATGAAGCTTTGAATCGCTTCAGTTTTTTGTTTTGTTTTGTTTTGTTTTGTTTTGTTGTTGTTGTTGTTTTGAGAATCTTTATGATTAAGACTTTTCCAAAAATACAGCCGTAACTAAGCTTTCTGCTATTTGTTGAGTCCCAGCCTGTTGGGCACCCAGGCTGCTTTGGTGCATTTAGTAATATCTCTAATGATTAGGATTAGAATCTAATGTTTGGGTTAGAATGGTTACCCTAGTGGATGGA